ACTATATATATTAATAATAAATATAGTAATATATTTATTGTAATATATACAAACTCTGTTTTTATATTGTGCAATACTACTCAGTGAATGCAAATTTTATGAAAGAGGTGAATCATCACTATAGGAGTTGTGTGATCAAATCAGAAACTGTCACTGAAATGATGCTTGTGAAATTACCTGTCATCCTCTGGAACAAAGTCTAACACAGACGGCACACAAGTTACTTTTTGATGACAGAAATGGCAATACTTTGACCAGGAGAAATTCATTGTTCATGGAACTGTTGAAAAGAAAAGGCACAAGAAAATACTAACGACATTATTCATCCATCATGCCTATTTGAGGTCAGTCAGGTGAATATCCTAAGCTTTTTCAATGTGCTCGTAGAGAAAACAGAGCCAAAGTATGAAGAAAAAATTTATCAGTCTTGTAAATTTTAAGAGGAACGTGTCCTATTTTAAAAATCTCATGTTCAGCTGCAATAACATGTTCAGGTGTGAAAAACACATCTCATACCTCAACAGAATCCACATTCCACAGCTGACATTGCACACCACACTTAGGAGAGATGCTGCCTCTCCAAAGAAATATGATTTAATACAAGACAAAGAATACAACATCAATAAAGTTTTGTGTTTCCTTGGGTTTTTTTTTCCTTTTCTTCACTTTCAACTGTAATTATAGTAGCTTTGATGCTGTTCTAACATGCACAAACACGGAACTGTTCTGAAGGTGTTGCATACCACTTAGGATTGCTAATATACAACATATTGCCTCCCCCTCTTGCCCATTTTTGCACATATTTGCCATATTTGGGCCCAAATACCATACTTCTGACCCAGTTCTAACTCAGAATACTTTTTCTGGAAAGAGAGAAGAGAAGATGGGAAAACACGCAAATATATTACAATTTCTTACAATAGAGTCAAGGTCCTTCGATAGTTGTAGTTTCTGATTTTTTACAACTGAAGGTTCCTTAGCCTTCTAGGCAGTTCCCTAACTGAAAATGCCCATCTCAGACAGACTTGGGAGAATCAGGTTCAAGTCTAATCAGAATGTGGACCTGTACTCAGGTCGCCCCTATCAAATTCTAGTCTCATATCTCTGTCTTAAAAAATATTTGAAAAGAACTTAGCTCAGTAAGAGCACTTTAGACATTTTCTAACTTTGGCAGGACAGAAAAACTGTTTCATACAAGTTTAACTACAAAACAAACAGAAAAAAAATCACTATTTATCTTCTCTCTTCCTTCAAATTTTCTAAACATACTTATTCCTTCCAATTTTAATTGCAAGGCATTTTCAGCACGAAAAAAAATACTGTCCTTCAAATAACTACAAATCCTACTTGATATACATCAGTATATTGATTGCTGTATGGTAGATGTGCAGTTCTTCTATCAGCAATCTGTACTGTGACTAAACGGAGATGGGAGGAAGACTGTGAAGATTGTACAGTCTGGTAAATCTGCCTTCTTGAGAACAGAAACAGAGGTAGCAATTGTTCAGTGCATCCTTTTTCATCATTCATTCAGTGACACACATCTAGCATAGCTGAAGTGAGAATGTTATCACTTTTGTCAGGATTTCAGAACAAAAAGAATCAAACACCCTTCAGTTGTGCTTCTGACCTTCCTGCCAAGATAGGCCCAGTACCGGGTGAATTCACATCACTCTTTCACTCTTTGCACAGTTTGTCCACTTTCTCATTAATAGGTAAAAGTCTGAAAAGAAATTGTTACTGACTACAGAGCAACAAAAACACTTTCCACACAATAGCAACAATCTACTGAGCATTTTGCTTATACATAGAAACCCCCCCACATTTCAATCGTTTTTTTAAATCATGCTAAGTGAATGGCTAAGGGAATGAATAATCACAGAATCACAAAATCACAGAATGGTAGGGGTTGGAAGGGACCTCTGTGGGTCATCTCGTCCAACTTCCCTGCCGAAGCAGGGTCACCTACAGTAGGCTGCACAGGACCTTGTCCAGGCGGGTCTTGAATATCTCCAGAGAAGGAGACTCCACAACCTCCCTGGGCAGCCTGTTCCCGGGCTCCGTCACCCTCAGAAGGAAGAAGTTCCTTCTCATGTTCAGACAGAACTTCCTGTGCTTCAGTTTGTGCCCGTTGCCCCTTGTCCTGTTGCTGGGCACTACTGAAAAGAGTTTGGCCCCATCCTCCTGACACCCACCCTTGAGATATTTATAAACATTTATTAGGTCCCCTCTCAGCCTTCTCTTCTTCAGGCTGAACAAGCCCAGCTCCCTCAGCCTCTCCTCGTAGGAGCGATGCTCCAGTCCCCTCACCATCCTCGTAGCCCTCCGCTGGACGGAAGGAGAACCTCCCTCGACCTTCTGGCCACACTCCTCTTGATGCACCCCAGGATCCCATTGGCCTTCTTGGCAGCCAGGGCACACTGCTGGCTCATGGTTAACCTGTCGTCCACCAGGACACCCAGGTCCCTCTCCACACAGCTGCTCTCCAGCAGGTCCGCCCCAAGCCTGTACTGGTGCATGAGGTTGTTCCTCCCCAGGTGCAGGACCCTGCATTTGCCCTTGTAGAACATCATCAGGTTCCTCTCTGCCCAACTTTCCAGCCTGTCCAGGTCATGCTGAATGGCAGCACAGCCTTCTGGTGTATCCACCACTCCTCCCAGTTTTGTGTCATCAGCAAACTTGCTGAGGGTACATTCTAACTCTTCATCCAGGTCATTGATGAAGAAGTTAAACAAGGCTTGGCCCAGTACTGACGCCTGAGGGACACCACTAGTTACCAGCAGTTTGAATGTCCCATTCAAATAACAAATAATTTTTGTATTCAAGTTAAAGGAAAATGCTCAGCTACTGATACATTCTTTGTGATTTGACTACACATTGACTGGGGTTATCCCAGATGAGGGAAATATGCTAGGAAATAATCAACATATGCAACATATATACCATATGCTGCCTTTATTTTTCCACTTTTCTTTAGATATCACTCAAAGACAGGCTATTGGACTAGATCAAAGTCCAGACTGACACAGTATTGCAATTTTTATGGTCATTTGTTTTTGTTTTCAATTTATAAGCAAGAAATACGTTCTGTTTTTAAATCACTAGACTGGATGAAATACCATTTTGAAGATTTTAAAATACATTAATTTATGCTTACTGTTGGATTAATACCTAAGACACTGATTTTCAATCTATTTTAAATGTGCCAATCTTTACATATTGAACTTTCATTGGAGGATCATACGCTTGCATAAAATTCAAATGTGAATTGCATACAAACAGAGAAATTTTCCTTTGGTCTTCGTTCTCTTTCCCCTGCACCAAGTGGTACATACATGCTAGAATTTTCCCAACAGTTTTTCAGACTCATTTGTTTCCTTCCACTCCCATGTGATCTTTTTTCTTGTGGTGTAAAAGTATTTAGGTGGGTGTGCAGTGAATCAGATTCCAGAAACTATTCCAGATTAAAACTGACTATTATAACTGGTTTATTTTTGGTGTATGTCATCTTCCCTATGGGGTTCACTGAATAATGGAACAAAACCCTTGAGCTGTCAAGGGAGCTGCAGAAGTCCTACAACAACAAGGCCCAAGTGGTGGAGGCTTCTTTTTGCAACAGGGCTGGAATACACTGACTTCAAAGGTACTCAAAACTACGGCCTCAGTCACTTTTGGATACCCTTTACAAGCAGCCCACACATCTACAAGGCTTCACAGACACCAGTTTAATAATTAATGTTCTAGGTCAAGACAACACTGTGGAAAAAAACCCAAGATTGATTAATACTGTATCAAATTACTGATTGTGTGTGATGTTCAAAAACTATTGCTGAACTTCTTTGGTCTGATGAACCGACAAGTTTGATCTGTGTGTTTTGATTAGCTTCATAACGTTGAAAGTATTCTGAAAGTTCTAGTTAGACAACAGGTTCCAAGAACATTTATTGCAGAAGTGTTATTATTCACATTTGCATGCAATTTCTTGATAGATACTAGCACCAATGCTGACAGTAATAAAACTAGATTTATATTACAAAACGTGGGATGATATCTATCACAGGCAACATTAGAAAACTGACAGATATATGACCCTTCATTAACTGACCTAGATATAGTTCTCCTGGGTATTATTTTAGTGTACAAAAATTATAATTGTCCTACAGACTTAAGAAAAACTGGATTACACAGTTCAGAGAGGGATGAATGCTAGTATTCCAGGCTTCCAAAATTCCTTAACTGTAGTGGAAATCTTTGCAAAGTATTCCATGTTGTGAATCAGCCCTAGCCTTGAAAAGTATTTAAAAATTATTATTAGAAACTTATTTCCAATATATCACAGAGTAATAATAGAAATGAGGTGATATAAAGTATATATGCCACACTTGTTTTGGGACAAATACATACACTCTTCTAGAATTACCTGAAAACAAAGACAATATATCAATGCTTCTAAAACCTACTGAATTGCCAAAGAAGTATTAAAATGCCTTATACAGGAAAAAAGATTCTTGTATATACCGTAACGATAAAATATGTGTCATATCTTTTAAGAAAAATATTTTAACTACTGAATATTTATGATTAAATATCTAATCTAATCAAAACTGACCATCTTTTCAAACATATAACCCATGTCTCAGATAATCTTAGAAATAATGTTCCTCGGCAATAAATCCTCAGATAGTGTACTGTTAGCACACACAAAACTAGGAGAATAGGCATAATCAGAAGTAAGGTGGCTACTAGGCAAAGACAAGCAGATTAAAGAGCAGAGGAGATTTCAGGAAAGAGGGAGCACAGAAGTAAAATTCCCCTTATCTAACCTGAACAAACATACAACCCCAGTTTTGCTGAATTTCAAGGATTTATAATTCAAGGGATTTTTTTTGTTGTTTTTTTTAAAGAATAATCTATAATTATCCAAAAGCAATTAAAACATGGTAACAACAAAGGTACTTTGGAGATGCATTCATTCAAACATGCTAGTAAAAAAAGATTACCTTTTCAATTTGATTTTGTGATGCAACAGCCTCATAGTTATCCTGCCCCATGCAGTTATTAAACACTAAAATTCTGTCAGAGGTGTCCTCAATAATTTTCTACATGCAGTTGGAAATGACAGGCTTGGTTTTCTTTTGCTTGACACCATTACGAAGAACCAGGCCATTCACTGTCTAAGATACTTTCTTGCTTAATGACAGATGGTCTGCAAGAAAAAAGAAAAAAGAAGTAAAGTCAATATTTGGCTTCAAAATTAAAAACGGACACATCATGCTTCCCTTTCCCTATTACCTTAAAAATACACACTGGCCTGACTCCACTTAGATGCTGGTATTTTCTGAAATGCTACCACCAGCTTCCTACTAACCGTGACATAAGCTGTAGCAAGCTGTCTGCAGTGATAGCCTGCATAAATCATCATTCCTGAAGGGAACAGATGTTCAGGGTATGAAAGAGTAATACCACAATTTAGTCACAATTAAAATTCACCTTAGCATGCCTCTATCAGTGAGCAGAGAGGAACATTTCACTTCTCACCTACAAAAATGAAATGCCTCTCATTTCTTCTGCTTCAGAAAAATTAAGCCTGAACCTTTTGTACATTGTTTGAGTTCCGTATCTGACACTGCATCATATAAATGACATTTTTATTTCACTTCAACTGTTAGGTTTTTTCTTTTTCCAAACACTAGAACATGAACTCTAAATGGTGTACTGCCGCTGCACAGCTACTCCAGAGGTGTACCTAAAGCCCCTCCATAAGTACAGACTAGAGCCACCCTGGAGTGAAATCTCTTAAAATGTGTACAGTAGGGACATTAAGATCCTTTCTACTAACCGCTTTGTTCCACAGATCTGTTTCTCTGGTGCTGTACAATTTGTTAACCGAGACTTACCTGCTCCCTTCTCCAGAACTCTTCCTGTTACTTGTAGAATTTATTAATTTTGCCTTATCTTTGCTTTTGAAACAGCAAAAATGTGCACTTGCAGTTGTCAGGAAGGTATTCTGTGGTTGCTGTGAAAACCAATAGGCATGTGCACTTGGGATGAACTTGTTAGAATCTGCTGCTAAAACTCTAAACATTCACATTACCACTGATCAGGTTCCAGCATCAAGGGACTTTGCTAACACCAGCTGTACCAAGTAGACTCTTAGGCTCAAAATAGCCTTTTACATAGTATACTTAAAATTAGAACGCCAGGTACGATACAGATCAGTGAACAGCATTAGTTCTTACTTGCCACAGCTAAAAATAACTATGTTAGATTGGGAAATGCAGGGAGACTTCACTGAGTGGCATTAACAATTCTGTGTGTTTCACAGTCCTTACTGTTGAGCAATTGAGAAATACTTATTGTTATTGATTTATTATTCCTTTAGAAAGCATGAAAGTTTTACTAAATCCATTTTAGAAATGGGATCCCTGAAAAGTTGTATAGGATCTCACAGAAGAGCTTGAAATAATCTCCTCTCTTGAAGGACATGCTCAAATATCAACCACTCATCTATACAGAACAGTTACTCTTTACTTCATGAACAACAACATTTTATGAGGACATTTTTCTCACAGACATTATTTTTTATGCTAATAACTTCCATTTGTGTGAAAATATTATTTTGGTTGACTGTGTAAGACATCCTGTCCACTCAGCATATAGGATGGCTTGACTATCCCTTGGTCCCTCCATCAATACAGGTTCCAAGTCATATGAGACTGCAGTAATGAGGAAGATGCATCTCAGAATTGACAGGAACAGCATATCCTGAATCACACCTTCACATGACTTATCCATGAATTCCACTTCTGATCACAAGGAAACAGTGATCTTGTAATAAAGAGGTGGCTGCAAGACCAGCTTAACTACTGGTTGAAAAACATCTCCACTGACATTGGAAAACAGATCTTAAGATCTCAACTAACACCAGTGATTAAAAAGATGAACTGATTGTCAGGGGGAATTTTTCAAAATGGTGAATTTTCAGAGAAGCTGCAGAAGGTTGTTCAGCCTTGGACAAAGAGGCTCCCACATGCATTGACAAACCTAGCCTAAGTCTGTGCAATGGTTTGGTAGGGTGTTCATTTATACAGTTATTGGGCATATATTATCTCTTATTTCCCACATCAGCAAGTATTAAAAGTTGGCTGAGTAACAGCAAAAGGATGTTTTCCAGTTTAGGTATGCTACACTAAGTGTTGCTTTGCTTCCTCCTGAGCAGAATGGTACTTGGAAAAGAAGTGGCAGCTGATTTAGATGATAATGAAAGACGACATAAGGTGAACCTCAGAGATCACTTGCCATTGAATGATAAGAGCAAATTGATGCCTAAAGGCGAGTTCAGGAAGATTACAGCTGCCTAAGCCAAAGAATGTGCTAAAGACAAATTCTGCCCACCCTTTAAGGTTATATCCACAGTACTCCTTAAGGCTGGCTGGAGAATTGCTCTGCAGGTCAAGCTTGTCTGTATTCTATAGTATAAGCCTGCAAGGAAGCTTCAAGCACAATAGGAATAAACCCCCCAGCAACCTGCATGGCGAAAAATGCTAAGCATGATCATTTGCTCCCAGCCTTGACAGAAGAAGATGTCAATGAGATTGTTATATGCATGAAGGGCAGGCACTACGTGGTAATGAATACTCTTCCGCCACTTCTGAGCAGCGTAGGCATAAAATCAGGCACTTGAGTGTCTTGTGTTCCCTTATTTTCAACAATACATTACTCTTGCCACCTGAAATTGTCTGTACATTGATGCTGCTGTGCATCCTTAAGTGACCACGATCCTACACGATTTGAGAAGTCTGGCAGCTACCAGTCTCTGGGGGCTCACAAACCAGAAATCTCCAAAGCAAAATTCCCTCATTGAGGGGATATTTCTGATATACTAAGTGCAGAGACAAACAGTGGTAACACTGAGTTTATAACAAAGTGAAACAGACTTGAGCATTTAAATCAAAAAATGACTGGAAGAATAGCGGTAAAGTCTCTACTATACAAGTGGCCAAGTGTTTGTATCTCCTGGGTGGAAGGAGGTCAGATTCTATAATCTTCTCAGTCTCACAGACTCAGTTCCATATTTCTCCATTCCCAGGAGTATGCTCGTGATCTCCAGCATGCTGGCTGGACTGAGATCTCTCTTGTTGCTATTGGACTGCAGCAATAACGTAAAATTCCCAGTGGAAGAAAGAAAGAATGGCCATGGGAATCTAAGTTTACAGACCATTGATAATAAAAGTACTTATTTGGCACTAGGGTAAGGCTTTTACAATCCTAGTCTTACACAATGCCTAAACAAGGCGTTTAAGCAGAGGCATCAGATGAGATTTCAGCTTCATTCCTTTCTTCAGGATTTCTTAGTATCTGTCATAAATGCTGCTTCTCTTGAACCTACCCTGTGCTTCACACTGATGCTGTAACTGAAAATGTTGTTACACACAAGTGATTTGATGAGAGACTGGAAGGAAGCTTCTAACCCTGCTCAGAATATTTTGAGGTCTTTACATGCCTAGGATGTGTGACAGAAATAGAGCAAACATGGACAACGGAATGTAGAAGATTGCCAAGATCTGTAAGCAGAGAGGTTATACTCTATTAAGCTAACAACCACAGTAAGAAAAAACAGACAAGCTCTCTGACATATAATTCCTCCTTGCATTGTTTAAATACTTAGATCTGCTACAGGGACCTATTATTATTACTACAAAACAAGTGGATTTCATTCACTTTCATAGTTGGGAATAAAATGCAGCATCATTATGCAACAGGAGAGGTTGAGAGATCATGGACAGAAGGTAGTTGAGAGGACATCTAACCGTAATCTTCCACCACCTAAAGAATGGCTATAGGAAAGAGAGAGAAAGAGATTTCTCAAAGAGGCACGGTAAACAGACATGAGGAAAAAGTCACAGCTGCAGCATGAGAAAATTCAACTAAATATAGGGAAAAAATATTTACAACAATTAAGCAGTCGAGTGGGTTGCCCATAGAGGCTGGGGAATTTCCATCTTTGGAAATTTTCAAAATTTGACTGGATAATGATCCAAGCAATCTGTCCCACCTTTGAAGTTAACCCTATTTGAGGAGAGTGGACTAGATGACCTGCAGAGGTCCCTTTCAAGGCAAGTTATTCTGTGATTTTCAGTCATCTGCTACTCTGTAGCAGACAGTTGTACACGCTATTGCCAACCATAGTGTACCTTAATTTGTTAACCACAAAGTTAACACCAAGTGCTTCATACTGCAAATATACAAATCTTAAACCAGGTTTTTATAGGCACAATTTACACAATTTTTTATGCCAGAATTTACCATAATTTTCAAAAATTAAATTGTATGCTTGCTATTATGCTTAATATTAACTGTTGAAATGATTGAAACAAGATCAGCAATACTAGTCAATAATTTCATACAGAAAGTGATTACCCCAGCAAATTGACATTACACTGAAAACTGTGGATAAGCAGAATATATTGCCTAAATGGAAGTGACCCCTCCAAAACACACAGTAACATTGTTACTCGTAGTTAAAGTAGCTCTAAAGCTTTAATCATCTCAAGATAGCAGAATTACAGCCTAAATTCATATGCCAAGGAACATCTTCCTCCAGCAAAAGAATTCTTAATGATATGATTATATAGAGGTTCACTGTTAAGAATGAAGAATATTACTTGCAGAATAACAAATATAAACTTAAAGAGCACTTAAATTTTCATTTGACATTCCCTGTCTAAGTATTGACTATACTGTTCATGATCTGAGCCAAGGTCTGTATGTCACACACATTTCCTGCCACAGTGAACTTATTTCCCAGTTCTGTGTTCTCATTCTCCCAGCACCTATCCCCTTCACTCACAACTGCTTTATACTGTCATTGTTGAAACAAGATTTACAGAGTTGTATGAAACTTTCTCCAAATGCTAACAAAAAGGAATAAACCGACAGGTTTAAAGGGACCATATGGCATTAAAAATATATTGATACTGTATGCTATATATTATATTAGGCATATGTACTTAGACACGTCTTGCTTTAACTTCTTTTCCTTTCCTTGCCTTGATAGAAATAAATACCAACCAATGGCTCAAACAACCTTCATAACCTCATGAATCCGAAACTTATTGTCTGAAAAAAATATTTTAATCTATCAAAAACAGGACATAATTTTCTCAGTTCCCACTTTTTAAGAATCTGAAAATTGAGTGATACGTT